TTAAGCAGGGCTTTACTTTATATATTTTTAATTTTTTTATTTATAATTTAGTTCTTATCTTTTGAAAGATATTGATACAGATACTGCCAAGATTTCTTGGAACTTTCGCTGGTATAGAATAAAGTTTTACTTCAATTTGTGTTACCAACATCATTAGCCAGTTTTTATACCCTCGGCAGGCAGCCAAAAGTGCAAAACAATTCACAACTTGTGCGCAGTAAATAAAATAAAAGCCAAAAAAAAGAAGAAGACTGTGAAAAGAAGAAGCTAAAAGTAAGTAAACAATTGATTAAAATTTATGCACTTTATCCGCTTGAACCGCATACACAGAGCCACACACACACACATAGCCACACGCAATCGAACTGCTTCTATAGAGATATAAGAGAGCAGCAGACATACGCTTTTATTGAAACTTTGCCTTTCAGCTTATCTGTGTGCCTGTGTGTGTGTATGTGTGTGCGTGTGCGGCTGGGTAAACAGCATTTTGATTAAATTATTTTAATAGTAAGTGAGAGATCTATGGTAAATGTATGTATAATGTAAGAATCCTATCTCCTACATCGCCTGCTCCCATTCACACACACACACACACACACACAGCCGTCCCTGCCCGATCCTACCCTACCCTCTGGCCCAGCTGAACTCAATTAATTCAGCTGCGAACTATTAAAGCACACACCGGGCGCTCATAAATTGAGTTTGAAACGCGACTTGCGAGCAGCCGCACATGAGTCAATTCTCTGAGGGGAGTTGAAAATGAATGAATATTTCATACGAGCCCAGATGCAGATGCAGAGATGCAGATACACACGTTTGCAACCACCCACAGCCCCTTCGCCCCTAGGCCAATAAACCGTTGCTAGCCATTAACAAACTGTTTCGATTGTATTAGCTCCGTGCCAGCAGATCTCTCGGACAGTTACTTTTTTCCAGCTAATTCGTTGGAGTTTGGATTTTGATATGGATTTGGAATCTGGCAATGGTGAGATTCACCTGCCCGCATGACACGGCTGCGTCTCACTCTTCCAACTCTCCGTTATCTAGGGCTCGCTCGCTTTCGCCCTGCTCAGTTTGTCTCTGTTTAGCTCCCTGGCTGACTAGCAAATATTTATTGAACACGATTTGCTCGTTAGGCGAACGTAATATACACACACTCATACACGCATGCATACACTCGGTCTTTTTTTTTTTTGGCTGCTGTTTCGCCTCTTACATTCGTTTTTCACTTTGATTCATTTTGTAGCATTTTTCAATTTCTTTGTATTGAATACTTTCCTTCATTTTGCCGTCTGCTGGCTTTTCTTATTCTTATATACATATATATATTTTTCTCTCTTTTTCGTTTTCTTGTAGCGATTTCTATCTTCTCAGCTGCCGAACGATTTGTGTGCAAATTTTCCACTGTCATTATGCGCATATGTGTGTGTGTGTGTGCGTGTATTGGTGTCGGTGTGTTAGTTTGATATTTGGCCTAGGCCAGGCGAGCAGCTTTGCCAAAAGAAACAGTTAATAAAATCCCTTGACACGAAGGCGTTTACATAAGCTTTTAGCAAATAATTGAGTGTGCGTGTCCTTGTTGTTGTTGTTATTGTTGTTGCTGTGGCTGGCACGTGTGCCGTGCCGGGACGAAAATTGTACGGATTGTTCCGGCACTGGCATGGCCAGCCACTGCCAGTGCCCGGTGGGCGGGCCAGGCACCTATGCGACCAGTGTGGGTGGGTTTCGGATTCATTTCAGTAACTGGAAATTCAATTGAATTGGCAAAAATTGTTGTTTACATGCCGATTTGCTTGTTTGATTTATGCAAAATGGGTGCGTATGTGTGGGTGAGTGTGCGTGTGAGCTCAATGTGCGCCTCGAGATTTAGCCAAACAATCCAGTTCCGAAATTAGCCAGTGCTCCAAGCCAGGCCAACATCCATCCGGCCGTTCATTCCAGAGAGTCTACACTTTTGTGTATTAAACGATATTAGCTGCCAATGGGAGCGGCAAGAGGGGGCCAGCGAATCGGAGGAGGCCGGACCCAGAGGCATACGCTGGAAGTTGTAGCCAAAGCTGGGGCATGCCTAGATTGCCGTTTTCCGATAACTTTGCTGCGTATGCTTGATAAAGGTTTGGGACCAACTGGCAGAGACTTAATAAGCTGCTGCTCCCACTGTTTGCCCAGATTCTTTTGCTCGGAATTCGTCTTGTATTTGAGAACAAACATGATTCGAATCTAACAACAGAAATGTTCTATTTACATATGCCGCAAATTGAGCTGCTGCTGCTGCTGCTACTGCTTGAGATGGCCAGCACGTAAGCGCATTACGATTACGCATACGCCGCGTTAGCCAATGGCTAAAAGCTTAGCACTCAGCGCTCGCTCACTCACACAGCCCACATAATAACCTGACCCACACACACACACACACAGCAAAGCACGAGGCCAAAATGGAACGCAGAGAGTGAAATAAAATTTGTCTTCTGTACAAGTTGCAGTCAAGTTAGCGCTGAGTTGTGGGTAAACATTTTTCAGCAGCAATAAATAATGCGCAAAGAAGCAAAGAAAAATATTAATAATAAAAGCATGCAACAGCAGTGCGCAGCGCATAAAGGGACAGCAGCAGCCACAATAGATGCGCCTGCCAGCGGGTGGGGCACTTCGGCGGAGCCAACAAGAAAAGTGCATCCACGAATAAAATCAAAGCCATCAACTGCAATTGCAGCAGGAGCTGAGGACGAGCTGGACAGCAGAAGAACTTGGTAAATTGAATGGTTATTGAAAGGGCTGCACGAGTGGCAGTGCACGGGCAGCTTAGGACTTGGTGGTGGTGTCGGGTTGTGCGATGGGCACGGACTGCGGCGTTAGATATTCTTGAAAAAGGAAAAAGTTTTTCACCACCCCTGGATGGCCATAAAACCATTATGCAAGCTGCACGAAGACTTTGTCAAGTGGAAAATATGAAAAACTTTTACATTTCGATGAAAAGTAATGCCAACGCAATTGGCAATGTGTGAAAATTGTGGCTCGTTGCATATGGTACGCAAGGAAAAGAAGAAGAGGAAAAAAAAACAATTTAATTTTGGTTAAAGGGAAAAGAGAACTTATATAAGAAAATGCTTCTCTGTTGAAGCGAGTCACCTGTATTATATGGAGATTCATTTGGAATTATTTTCAAAACTATTCCCAACCTCATCAGGAAAGCTCTAATTGCAAAACTTATGCTCATCATCATCATCGAGCGAAGGTATAAATATTTGATTCGAGTTGGAGTTATTTGCCTTCAATAAAGTTACACATTTCTTTTGGCCTTTTGGGGTATTTGAGGTGATTTGGCAGCTGTTGCCAAGTTTTGCCAAAATCCAACTAATTGTTGCACCGTAATGGTTAACAGGTTGAAAGTTTGGTTATTAAAATGCATTTAATAATAAATTTAATGGCCGATTTAAAGATTAGAGCGAGGGCAACAGCAGTGACTGCCGAGCCAGCAACAAAGGCAAACAATGTCTAACATGGCACAAGGCACACTTTCAATTTTCTTAAAACACATAAAACTTGATTATCTTGATTAAATTGCAAATCAAAAACATGTTTCAAGGATTACTTGTGTGTGCCACACACACACACACACACACACACACACACACACACACACACAAGCTAACTGTGCAGTGAACTCTTATCAAACCACACACTCACACACAGACATACACACATACACACGCACGCACACATACAATTACCTAAATTGTATGCCACAAAGGCAAATCTGTATATACATACATACATATATCAGCCTTATGTGTGTACACATTGTGGGCATAAATAATAATTGTAAACTGCAAGCCACATATTCCCCCTCATCTCTCATTCCCTCTCTTTCTAGTTATCTCCTGCGCTGTTGCTATGCCAGCCTGGTGTGTATGTTAATCTGTTAACAAGAAGCTTAGATCGATTTCATTTCAAAAGTGTTTATATCAATTTAAAGTAATTACAAGCAGCCACAAGCACATGCGAGCGAGGTTGGCGCAAAACAAACCCAACATCTGTCTCAATGCGAGCCAGCAGAAGTGCTTAAGTGCGTATGTATGCGTGTGTAAGCGTGTGTCTCTGTGCCTGTGTGTATGTGTGTGTGTGTGTGCGACCTGTCCTAATGGAAAATATTACGCAAATTGATTCTATAAGTGGCATGTCATACTCGATGCGTTTGCCCTGCTGACAACTTGCACACAGCAAAAAGCCAAATGGAATCCCAAACAGCAGTTTTCAGCGCACATCATCTAGCATATATACATATATATAAATATATACTGAAATCGATCTGCATATATCCCAGACATATAAATGCATGTATAAGACACTCTTAGCCTTGCCAAATGGCATCTCAACTCTGAAGTGTGTTGACAAAAGCCTTCTGCTGGGGCATGTCGACTGCCACGTTTTGTCATTAATATGATTATTGATTGATTTCCGTCGACAAGACTCAATAATGCTCTAAATTTACATGTGCCGTTATGTGGATAGTGTTAATTAATATCAATCAACTGATTAGTTCAAGCCATTGAAATTGATTGTGTGTCTGTCTGGCTGTCTCTCTGTCTGTCTGTCTCTCTGTCTGTCTGTGTCTAAGGCCTCTTATGCTATTAAGTAGATGCTTTGAAACAGCATTTTGTTGCTTGAAATAAATTACAATCTTTGCTTGTAAAATATTTATTCTCCAATTTGACAGAGCTCCTCGCCCACTTCATTGCTCTAGTTCAACCTCAACTCTGGTCTCTTTCATCCTCCCTCGTTCATCTACTAATTGTTTTCAAAATCATTTATTACAACTTTGTCACATAGTTGTCTAATGTCATGCTTAATTTTATGTCCTCCTTCTGAATCATTGTCAGCAAAGTCCCAATATGGGCAATCGGCATAAACTGGAATAGAAGAAGAGAAGAGTTCTAGTCGGCGGCTCATGTTTATCCGACTGTCACACTGGGGGCAACAAGCCACAGTTGCATTTGTCATATAAAACGAGGATTCTTTTCTAGGATTGCAGCTGTAAAATGCATATTAAGTAGAGTAATTAAATGTCAGTTCCACCAGCGAGTACTTAAGGGCGTACAACTTTGTTGCTCTGTTGCTAAAAGGAAGTTTGAATAGGTCGGTTCGTTGGTGGGCTAGTGGGTGCTGTCAGCTGTGGGGCTGGCACAGATGTTACGGTTCAGCTGGTAATGCGCAGGTAAATCTGCAGATGTCAAAGGGCTCCCAAGCCAGCGAGGCTCTGGCTGAGCTACAAGCTCTGCCGAATTTTCAAGCTAATCTGACCAATTTGAGGCGCATTGTCTTGCCGCTCCGTTCCCACTGGCAACACCCAATTGTTAATGTGGGGGCAGGTGAGCGCAGTTGCGGCAGAACAAGGCAAAAATCTGGCATACAGCTACGTGTGCGCAAAAAGTAAAGTGCCCATAGCATGTATCTAAGTCTGAGTGTGTGTGTGTGTGTGTGTGTGTGCCTTTGTGTGTATGCGAGAGAGGTGTATGTTTGCATTGCACTTATGCACATGTGTACAAACAGTAAGAAGGACGTTGAGGCACTTGGCTGAGGGGGAGGGGGGTCGAGAGAGGCGGAGGCGTAGCTGTGGCATTACTAGAGTAGATGACGCTGTAATAGCATTCAGAACTCTTACTAATGAGCAGAGTGCAAGCGACTGTCTATGTGTGTGCCTGTGTAGGTGTGTAGGTGTGAGGGTGGGTGGTGGCTGCAGGTCGAAGAGGTGAGTGGGGGCAGGGGCTGCCGCTTGCCATCACCTTGCCACCGGCGCTGGCAGCAACGCTTGAACCAATTTTACAATGTGCGGCATCAACAAGCAGCCAGCGCTGCAGCAGAGAGCAGGCAGTAGGCAGCAGACCCGACAGCCGACACCAGGATACCCTCTCTCAGCCCCACTCCTGCCCGCTCCCCCGGCAACTGCCAACCGGCAGCTTCAAACTAATTGTGCAATTATTTTTGCATAAAGTGGCATAAACATGGCTAGGAGAGGCATTATGCAAGTTGCCTGACTTTTGCAACATATGAAGATGTAGCAACACCCACAAGTACTCACATGGGTGTATATGGGTACATGTGAGTGTGTGTGTGTGTGTGTGTGTGTGTGTATGTGCGCGTGCCTAAGTGGCACTCGTACAATTTGAATGTAATATTCATTATTCTTTACACATTGTCTGTCGGCCTAAAGCTTTTTGGGCCTGGTCCTTRTGTGTTTGGTTTTTAAAGACTTTACGTTGAGCCCTGCACAAGGCACTGCGTGGCATTTCCTAAGATTAAACTTGGCTAAAAAGCATTAACATTTAATGCCAACTGCTGACCAACTAATGGTCTATTAAAGCATTAAACTAAATGAAATGAAATTAGAGCATTGTGAAAGGACAGCTCGTGAAATATATTAAAGTATGAGTAGGCTGATAAAATCTGGAAGCATATACATAGCTTTTCCATTTAATTATTTATTAATATATGTGACTGTTATTGGTTGCAATATATTTATACCATATTATACCGTGATAGAATTTATTAAGTTAGGTGACATTTAAAAAATAATTCACAGCCCTACGAGTTAAGGTTAATGTTTCATTTTTTTAAGCAATGCTTGAATTAAAAACAGTTTTATAAAAACGCAGATAACCCGAACCGATAGAAAATAATACATTTAAAAGAATTCTTGCAATAAACCAATTTAAAAATCATGAAAAAGTGCATGTTCTATAGCTTGAGAGTTTTTTTTTTTCAGAGTTAGATTTTCCAAATTTAATGACCAACTTACTGTTGGCATCCTCTATTGATTTGCAACAAAAATACATGCATACATATATACTATTCCAAAATGGATCAGCCATCATTTAGGCAGTGAATGGGTATTAATCNTTTTTTTCATTTTTTTTTTTTTTTTTTTTTTTTTTAGTTCTACACCTGACTTAATCCATCAGAGTCGGAATCATGCTGAAAATTTAAACTTTGGTAATCAACAATTAGTCAATAAATAATTTTTAAACGGATAATACGTATTTGATCCATGTGGTCTGTGCAATCACTTATTTGTAAATCAATTATGCTGGTATTGATTGCATATATATATACTTATTTATTTATTTTTATTTTTTCATAACTTTCAAGTAATGCCAGTTAATCGGTCATGCTCTGTGTGTGTGTCAATTATAAAGTCTTTTAGCTGCTTGAATTGTTTTCAATTTATTTCAGTGTGATAATTGACGTGCATAACCCGCTTAAATCAAAATGTCTGCATTTATATAAATGCTGAAACCTGTTGAAATTCGCTCAGACTTCTTTATTGTAATTTATTAAATATTTGGCTTGCTGCTCTGGAATTATCAAAGCCTGCAATCAACGTCGTGTGTAGTAGATTTAATTAAATTTCGCAATTTAAAAGGCCACAACATAAGCAACTGTCTCTGTGTGAGTGTTTATATACATATATATATATATATATATGCCTGTATATCTGAGTGTATAAACGTAAAGTTGTTTTTTCGCTTTGTTCAATCTTGTTGTCTGGAGGCAAAGGAATGCGGCTTTTCCAGTCTCATGTCAGTGTGCCATAGTTTCTCGTGTCGGCCTGTGTGAACCGGAGGCTTTAATTTGAATTAAATTTGCGCCCGAAGAAATTTGCCAGGACCCGAAGYTTTTGTTGTTGTTGTTCGTTTTTTATTTTAATTTTTTTTTTAAGGCAACAGAGCGAACCGAGGCCGAAAGGAGCTGAACCGAGCGCTCAATGGTTTCCGTATGGCATTTTTCGACAATTAAAATTTAAATTTAAATGAAATGAGCGCTGTGTGTGATATGTGTGTATGCGTGTGTGCGTGTGTGTAGAAAAGCCACAACACACAGAACCGAGAGAGCCTCTATAGAAGGGGCTGTGGAGCTGTGGGGTTACAAAAACAAACCGCAGCAACCGAAACCAAACACAAATGTTACATAAAGAAAAAGTCGACTTCGTCGTAGTCGTCGTCGCTTGGGCAAAGAACGAGCACAAATATGTAAATGAAATTGTATGACTCGAAACACACACACACACAGAGACAGAGAGAGAGGGAGAGGGAGAGAGAGACGCATTTCGCACACTCTATGTTACTCATGTGCAGCAATTGCTGCAGTGCCGCGGCAACAGCAACAACAACAGCAACACTCGAGCAACTTCTAACTAGGCAAGGTGCAAATGTATGCAGGTGTGTGGGTGTTGCTGCTGTAGGTGTCTCTGTGTCTCTGTGTGCCTTGCTTTGCATGTAGTTCGTTGACTTATCAAGTTGTCGACACAGCGCCAACAGCAGCAGCAATTGCACTTTGCTGTTACATTTATTACATTTGTAATTGTTGTCAGTCGCAGTTGCGTTGCGAGTTGAGCAGCCAGAGCGTTAATTATGTGCCAAAAGCAATTTTCGGCAAGCCAAGCGCCGCAGCTGCAATAGCAACAGCAACAGCAACAGCAACAGCAACATCTACAACAACAACAACGACAACTTTATACAAGTTGTTTTGGCGAACGTGTCAAGCGGAAGTCGTTGGCAATCGAAGTAGTTTCCGGCTTGACAGGGCGCTGCCTTTGCTGTGGCTTTGCCTTTGCCTTTGCATTTGCCTTCGCCTTGCCACAGTTTGCAGCCATTTTTGGGGGCATTGCATACTTAACAGCGCGCGTTGCAACTTTCACTTTTACAGCACTTACACGCACACACACACACACACTTACGCATACGTGCCGCATTTAAAATACCTTTGCATATTTCATTAAC